AATATCAAAAACAAATGTTATATTCGTTGTAATATTACATAATGCTAATATAACTCATACAGAATATTTTTTTTAGTTTCATTTATATTTCAAATGTCTCGCTTAAAGGAAACATTCTCTATATTTATATAAAATATTCAATATTACAACAATTATTTTTTGTAATTAAAAAGTTTAAACTTTAAAATTCTTATTATTCTTAATTTAATATTTAAAATTAAATTATAATAATTTATATTATCTTTATTCTTAATTAATATATAATAATTATGATGGAGAAATACAAATATCATGATAGAAAATTTTATTCTCATTCAATATCTATGTATATGAAATATTCAAAAGAAAATTTCATTTAAGAAATTTATATCCAAAATTATATTTGAATATAAATTATTTAAAATTAAAATATTTGACGAAACAATATAAAAAAAATGTTATAAATATTAAAATATTAAATATCTAATCTAACATTTATTTATAAATGATTTATTTATAAATAAAATTAACATTTTAAATTAACATTTTAATTTTTAATAATTATAATTTATAATCTAAGATATATATAAAATGATTTATGAATCATTACGATTTTTAAATACTTCCAATTTTAAGAAAAATCATTTTTAATAAAGTTAAGTTCTTTTATTATTATTTAATTAATTCTTTATTTATACATAAATATAAATTACAATATTAGAAAATTATAATATTAATATTATAATATTAATATTAATATAATATTAATAATATCTAATAATATTAGAAATTTAAAAAAAAAATGTTTTTCTGATAAAAAATTTCTGTTAAAATAGTTTTTCTTAAATAACATCACTTGTTACGTTATATTGTAGTTTATATCAATATCTCGTATAACTTTGAAATGAAGTTAAAATCAGAATATAGAATTAACGAACAAGAATATTTTCGTAAAAAATTGTTTTATGTAGACAAAATTTTATATGTTCAAAATTCATCTGTTTTTCAATAAAAAAATTTTTATACTTGTTTTGTTTTTTTGTTTTTTTGTTTTTTTATGAAATTCTTCATAATTTATTAAATTCTTTTCGATGTTATAAAAAAAAAATTATAAAATGTTTTCGTATATAAATTTTCTTCGATATCTCATAATATACAGAAATAATCTCATGTGCACTTTTTTTCATATGCATATTCAAAAAAGTAAAAAAAAGTAACTTGAAACTTTTTATAAATTAGGATTGTACAATTTGCTCTAACGATAAACCAAAATAGAATACAACAACTATTTTAACAATAAGGAGCTTATTGATATTTGTTTTGTTAATTTATAGATTCTTCATGAATATTTGAATTGAAAATTTGAAGAATGTCAAATTGGTTTTTCAATTTGTTTCTACAAAATGTTTATTTGCTGAAGAATATATGAATTTTGAATATGTAAAATTGTCTATATAAAACAATTTTCCTGAATTGAAAACATTGGTTTGACTTCAAAATAAAGAAAATTATTTAACATATATTGACATGATTTATAATATTGCAATATTTAAACTAATAATCCCACTTGATAAAGTTAACATGATTTTGAATTTTTTATTATTTTCTATATCGCATTCATATATTAATTCTAATATCGTAATTTGTAATTAATAAAAAATTGACTAACTTTTTCAATTTCGAAAAATGTTTAAAAAAATGATGTATATATATATATTGTATATATTATATATACTGTATATATATTATATATATTGTATATACATNATATAATATATATATATATACAGATGGTATTATAAATATTATAAATATAAATTGTATATTATTATAATGTAATATTTATAATGATATATGATCATAGAATGATCACATTCATATATAAATGAATCAGGAGATTCAAAATAAAATGAAAATTAAGAATAACAAAATTGAATAGGATACTTCATGTAAAATTTGAATATTTTTCGAATATAAATGAAATAATTCCATTATATTATATGAATTATTAATAAAAAAATTATTCTAAACATGAAAATAGCAAAAAAGCAAAAAATATAGATTTATTTTCAAAAAATATAAATTAATTTTCAAAAAAATCGAATTTACATGATTCTTTATCATTTTATTATTCGTATTATTATGCGATATTGTATATGTTGTATATGTTGTATATTTCATGTGATTTTTCCAAAAACTAGAATAAAATTGGTAACATTATATTCCAATAATCAAATGACCATATAAATATAATTTTTCAATTTTTAAATAAAAAAAAATCATATTTGAATTACTAGATTATAATGAAGTTAGTTATATACAATATACAAATATCATTATTTATTATTGTCATCAAATTATTGAGATATAATTCGATGACAAACGGAGTACAATATTTCTAGTGATTGTATCCAATCAATACACAGTTAGAACTATATATATATATAGTATTTGTATTTTTTTTATTATATTTTATAATTTTAGTTTGTATAAATTACTTAATATAATAAAAATGATAAAATGAAGAATAGAATTGTCGAACATCAAATAGTAATATTTTATGTTTTATGGTATGTCATTTTTCTGGATGCTTAATATTGATTAACCTACTCGATATCTCTTCGTGCGTGCCACGAAAAGCAACATAAAACCTACGCAACGCGATAAGATGAAAATATTCGCATTAGTTACAACGTTGTACTTACGATAAATTCAATACAAAAATAAAAATTAATTTTAAGAAATTTTTATTAATTCTTTTAATAAATGGAATTTTAATTGTTAATATGTTATTTTTTCTTTATTTTATTTATTCTTTTATATTGTTCATTCATATTGATTTTTAATATTTTAAACTACAATTAATTATGATAATTAAAATATCATTTCACAAAAAAAATAATTAGATTCTACTGTTATCAATAATGCATCAAAATTAGTATCAAGTTTATTTTTTTTTTTTAATGAAATGATAAATATTAATAGTTGCATCATTAAAAATAATTTTTAAATAAAATTTATGATAATTCATTAAATGATTTTTTCAATAATAGTTTTATTATTACAAAGTGTTTTATCGTGATGATTCTATTTCGACATTTCAATTCGGATTCCAAAAAAAATTTATATTTATATATAAAATGAAACTTAACAATAATTTTATAGAAATAAGTATAAATTTTTGATTTTTAATTTTTTTAATTGACTCTTGATTTTAAATTTATCTTATTAATTATTGATAAAAACTGATTAAAATTTTAAATACTTTATATTATTATATATCTACTTTTCATTGTATTATAATAAAAATTAGTATATTATAATAAAAAATATAATATATTTCAAGTATCTATTAATATTCTAAAATTACTGTTATTATATAATAGGCTTCCTGTAGCTAAAAATATTTTCATTAAATAAAAAAATATTCATAAATAACAACGGCTGTTAAGAAACTAATCTTCATTTTATTTAAGTTTAAATTATTATCCCACTATATTAATTAAAATTTTGATATTTCATATTTCCATTCTATCTCATATTTCTTTTCTTCTATTTCTGTACTGATAAAATCAGTACGAATGCTTATTCTAATCAATCGCGATCTTGATTACAACCTGAATTTAAAATTAATATTATTTATTTTTTATAAAACTTTTATAAAAGCACTTTATACTGGATATATAAATATATATAATATAATATAAATATATATGTATATATATTTTTCTAGGGAAGAATATATGTTAAATTATAAAAAATAATTATAAAGAATAATTATAAATAATATTTTTTTTCAAAATATATTGTAATTTTTAAAACATTTTTCTTTGTTTAATGCATATTACATATAAACATTATTAACATTTATTGCAAGCTGTTTTTATTCGAAATATTGACATATTTTATTTATATGTCGATATGATAATTAAATGATTCATAAAAATTAATTTTTTAAGATATTCCTTAAAACTCTTTAAAAAAATTTTTCTTTTTTTTTTTAAATTAAAAATAGTATATTAATATTTTTAGTTTTTTAAATAGTTATTATTACACTTTTTTCGATATAATAGCAATATTTTTTTCTAAGAAATAACAAGCTGTATTGAGTCCAATAAAAATTATACAATCTATTAAAAAAAATTAATGTTGATCTTCATATAATTCTTGAATTATTCAAAATATATAAAAATATCGTAAAATATATACAAAAGATCGATTCTAGAAGTTAAAATAAACATAATTGATATAAAATGTTGGTTGAGGCCAATTTATTAACAATTGAAGTTTGCATAGATAAAAAAAGATAGAATTAGAATGAGATTTTATTTCCATCATACAGCAGTCTCGATCTGTTTCTATCTCTTTTTATTTAATGAAAATTTAAATTGCTCATAACTTAATAAACTTCAATATTTTTGTATACTATTTTTTATATCGTTTTGATTTCTAAAACTGATTTTCTAGAGATTAAATTGTCTAAGATGTTTCTCAGGAATACATCCTGTACATGTATATATATATATATATGATTTATATATATATATATATATATATATTATTTATTATCTTTATAAGATTTTAGAAATTGAAAAAATTCATTTCTTTGATTAAAATTTCAAATAAAAAGAATTCTGTTAAAATTTTAAAAATATCTATGAATTATTGATATTCTTGTTTAATATACATATATTTACTACTTTTATTATAGATTTTTCATATTTTACATTAAATAAAAATAAATATAAATTATAAGTAATACAGACTTAATAAATTTATAATCATAATAAAAAATGTAGTTTTTATATAAAATTTATTTAATTTATAAAATTATTTTAAATTTATTAAATTAATAAAAAAAACAAATTTTGTATTGTTATAGATATTATGTATATTATAAAATATAATTCTTAGATATAATTAATTATAACAAAAACATAATTTTTAGAATTTTTCAATTTTTGATATTTTAAAAATTTTTTAAATTTAATCAACATTTCGTTTTTTATTTAAAATTTTAGTTTTCTGGATGATTTAGACCGATTAGGAGCAAGGGATTATCAACCTACAGAACAAGATATTTTAAGAACTCGTGTCAAAACAACGGGCATAGTGGAAGTCCACTTTTCCTTCAAGAATCTTAATTTCAAGTAAGTAATCAAAAAAAAATATTTCATATATGTACATAAGATACATAAAAATAATATTTAATAGATTTATAAATTTTTAAAATATTTAGAACTCTAAAATTGCTACAAATTTTTATTTTTAAAAAGTGGATTATGATGACTATTTTTTTATATTTTTCAATATAGTTTACTAATTTTAAAATATTTTAAATGAAATATTGTTTGCTAAATTATTTAAAATATAATATAATAAATATAAAAAATATATAAATTATATATAAAATTAAAATATATAATAAAAAACACGATAAATAATATATATACTTTTTATATTATGATATATATTTTCAATTATTTACTTTCATATGTGGAACTATTGTTATATATTTTCTTTTTTTATATTCCAATTCTCTTTAAATTTATTTATAAATACCATGATGTTATGAAAAAAAATATTTTAATTTTTGTTATATACATATAATACATTTTATATAATTACACAAATAATAAATCAATTATATAGGAATAGAATTTTAGAAATAATTATAGCTTTTATAACTTAATTCTAAATTTATTTTAAAATTTATTTTAAATCATAAAATTATATTTTTATTTAAAAATTACAATATATTCAATTTTATATATAGAATGGATAATCTACTTTAAAAGATTTAATTGTAAAACAAAAAACTGTTTAAAAAATGATTTTAAGATATTTTAATAATAAAAATTTTAATAATAAAAATTGAAATTATTTATATCAATTATAATGATTTTAATAATAAAATAAAGAAATTAAAGAAGGACAATAAAGAACAAAGAAAGAGCAACGACTTATGAATGATTAAGCATGAATCACTAATTTGTTAATTTAAGAAATTGAGAAACATTCTTTTTTAAATTCTTGTTCTATTAAGAAATATTTGTACACATTATATCATGCAAAAAGAATTTACATAAATATTAAATTTAATTTATATGTACATGTGTAATATTATTAACATTATATTTATTTTATATATTATTTATACATTATATTTATATAAATATATGCAATTTATATTTATATAATCATAAAAATATATTAAGATTAATAATTTTTACTTTAATTAAAATTTTTTATTTTAATAAAATTATATTTGATTAAAATTATATTTGATAAAATTCTATTGATATTATTTATCTCCAAACGATATTTGTTAATATAATAATATATATACAATATATACTATATAAATACTAAAATGATATATTAAAATGGTGTATATATATTTCATGTCAATAAATGTCAAAACTATTTAATTTAAATAATTTTGATTAAATGAAATGAATTAATATTCTAGAGCCAGAATAATCAATTTTTTTTTCATTTTTTGTTTTAGAATAGAAAATTCTAATATTATTAATAAGAAAAACTAGAAAATCATGCATTATAATGTATATATAATGTATATATTATATATATATATATACTTATATATATTTATATTTATATTTATTATTATTATATATATATTTATATTATATTTATATATATATTATATATAAATATATTATATATATATATATTATATATATTTATATTTATATA